TTCATATAACCCTATTTCGCATGCCCTTCTGGTGGAAGTGGAAGAGTTCTGAAGTCGCACAGGATTTCCTTTCTGGACACACCAGAGGCTAGGCAAAAGCAGCTTCTGTATGTCCTTTGTCCTTGCCCACTTTTGCTAAACCAGCAATTACAATGCGAGGCAAACTTGTGTACGGGCAATCTCATGTTTCTGATGTGAAGACCATGACAATAATATTTGTTGTCTCAATTTCTCTCCCATTGCCCTCTTCTTTGTGAAACTATTCTGATGGAATTGGGGGCCAACCTAATGTCTGGCATTAGATCTTATTGTTCTTTTCCATACATGGCAGAAAGTTTGAGACTCTTTGTCTCAAAGAAGTCAAGACATTAGGTATGTTGTTTCAGGTCGGCCAACAGAAAATGGGTCCAAAATTGGACCCATTGGTCAAACGTGATATCTCGTCCAATTCGTATTGACTGCTTAAGTCTACAGTTTGGCTTATTGAACACCCTGTGGAGGAGTTGGTCTTCATAGCTAAGCACAGTACACTGCAGCTATAGTGATATCCCTGATCTTTATTATGGTAATGAACAGGTGATTTGCCATTTAAATTATTCAGGAAACTCTAGCACCGGAGTTTGTTTGTTTTTAATAAAAAAGTAGTAGATTGCAGTTTACTATGATTCTCTTAGATTATCCTAGTACAAAGGGTGAAGATTGCTTTACGTTACAGTTTCATGACACAATGCTCTGATGCTAAATGTTACTGTGCTGCCATTGTTTTCAGATGTTACATTGATGAGAATCCGCAAAATCTGATAATTTATTTTTATAATTTATTTTCTGTTTGTGGATATTTATTGTAAAGAGCTGTTTTTGATTCCAGAATCAATGTTATATTTTTCTTATGCCCTGGATACTTCTGAAAGCTCCCTTATGGATATACTGATCTTATTGATTAAGGGACAAATGTGGTATTTAAATGAAGACTGCAGGCTCAGCAGAGCAATGTTTCTTCTGCAGAACAGTAGGATGTTTGACACTGACCACATCTCTCGAATCTTAGTGAGAGGTATACAGCTTCTGCTTTCTTCATTCTTTCCCATTTCTGTTTGTGTATAACTGTAGAGAGCATCTTCCTTGTTTCATATAGTCTCTTGGCCTTTCTCTGCTGATATGGGGAAATTCCCAGTTCTACCCTCTTTCCTGAGTCATTTTTTCTGACTGTGTTGCCTTTGAGGACTGTGTGTGTTGATTAAAAAAAAAACTGCTTCAGAGTCATTTATTATTAAAGGGTCCTAGGCAGCTCTGTTACATCTTTTCATGGCAAATTATGAGTGATCTGAAGTAATCTAAGACTATTTTGTCATTTTCCCCTCCCTAACCCAAATCCATTTTCTTCCAGTTGCATGTGCATATTGACAAGGAGGTGTGTGTGTGTGGTATCTATTTCTTGTGTGGCTGTAAAGTTAGTTGTATTAGCTCTGCCCTTTCAACATCATTGATTTTTAGATTAGTTTTAGTTGATGATGAAAGCCTTTACATAGCCTTTACGTTTATTCCCTTTTTCTGAACGTGCCCTTCTGCTGAGATTACTGCAGTGCAGCAGGAGCCAAAACAAAAATAGAGCCCTGGAATGAACTGAAGTTGTGAGGTGTTGCCCACCTCTGGTTCTTGTGCTTGTGCAAATATTGCAGACAGTGGTGCAAAACCAGCTCCATCCTCAGGGTGAATTACCTATAACTGTAGAAATATAAGATACTCCTAAGAGGTTTCTTGTTAGATTCTCCTTTTGAATGAATGTTTCTCTCTCTATGTGACTTCTGCCTATTTGGAAGCAGGGAAGAATAGCTTCTGTCTTTAATCCAGCATGCGTTTTTTGCTTCTCTTGGTACCTTTTGCATTTTATTTTCACATTCAGAATCAAATCTCCATGATTTTTATTGCAGTATTTAAGGGAAAAAAATAATATTGTGTTAAGGCAGTAGAGGGCTCTGGTGTTCTAAAAATCTTTCTCTATTTAAAGTTTGTACTCTGCCCAGTAATTACCAGGCAAACATGTCCAGGGATGTCCTCGAATCCTGTTCATATTGGAATTCACATCCACACTAAAACTACTCCCAGAGAGAATTAGGGGGGTTTATTATAACTGCAGTGCTAAAAGACACCTATTTGGACTCCGTACAATGTTGAAATGAGATTGGATCAAGCTGATTTATTGATTTCTATTAAACTTGATAGAGAATAGTCTACTTTAAGAGATTTTTCTTCGTCGTTAAAAGTGGAGAAGAACCTAAGCCAAATACCAAATCCTAACATAACTACCATGAACTTTGTGAAGTTCAGATTGAGATCAGAATATCATGTCTCAGACCCATTTCTAGTTAAAAAGTGATTGGTTTAGCTCAAGCTTCTGGCAGTGATATAGTGGTAGTATGAAACCATCAATTTCTTTGACTCTATGTAGTGTGAATTTCTTAAACTTCCTCACTGGAGCAAAAGTGAAAAATAGATTGTAGAGAATCAATTTGTTCAACTTGTAACTCACTGAAATTCCCATTTCTATTTCAAAACCATTCGTGCTTAAATAAAAACGTGTCATCTGGTCCTTCATGACAACTTAAACCTTGCCTTGAAATGTCAGTCTGCCGTGATGATGCCAGTGATAACCTCTCCTCTGAGATCATCGAAAGGGCTGTCTCAAAATCATGTCTGCTCTACTGGAGTTTGCCCTCTTTGTTAGGGTATATTCAGGATTCTCTGGTATCTGAAATTAGGAAGGCTCTAGGTCTCACCATGTTTGTATGAGTATTTGACTTTGATAAAGAAAATTCAGGACCCTCTTGGTCACTGTCTAGAGTGATTTCAAATTAGGTACATTTACCTGGGAGATTTATGGAAACCTTGTCAAATATAGAGATGGAGAAATGGCATGTGTGGCAGTGTGCCAAGATTATTTGGAATTCTTTTCCCCTCCACAAGTGATGTTAAATCAAGGCTTGAATAGTGATAAGAGAGTGTACTCTGTTACATACAAAAAAAAAAATACATACATCATGTTTCATTTCGGCTCAGTGCTTTTACTGATTTCAAGAGTTTTTTGTTTTGTTTAAGATTGAAATGATTTGCCCTGTGGTGGATGGAAATGCTTATGTGTGTTAACCTCACCAGTAAGTTTGTGCCTAATAATTTTAACTCCTACTCTATTGTCAGTGGTACATTTAAAGCAAAACTGGGTGAGATTATAGGAAATGGCATTAAACAGACAAAAGATGGAAAAGGTAGAGAATGGATGGGGTATGTTGAAGAATAAGTCAGAGATGATGCTCAAGTTTCATAGGGTGAAAGAAAGAGGAAAGTGAATGTCACTAGACTGAAACAAAAGTATCTGTGTGTGGGTGAAGTTTTTCTCTTTTCCTTTTCCTGGTATCTCTATTATGCAGATTTAAAGAGGAATGTTTGAAATGACCAGAGATGATGATATTGAGATTCACAGGTAGATTTACAAGTCTGTTTGGTACTGTGCCTATGCAAATGAAGACTATCTGCATCATGGAATCATTCGTTGGGAAATGCCCTTTTTAGGAACAGGGTACAATCCTGAATAATAGTCATGAACAAAATAGATGGGAAAGAAAAGCTCTCAAAAATAAAGGGTAAAATACAGTAGAAAGTGTCAGACAAACTGGAGTGAACAGTTAGATGAAGTCTTGAAGATAAGTAGTAATGATTACTTGTCGTGCTAAAGAAGCGTGAGAAAGACTTTGCTTGCATTTTGATTCTTCGCTGTGTCATCATGATGACATCTGTGAATGTAGGATGAGCATGATGATGGCAACAGCAATATGAAAGAAGAGAGGAGCTGAATCTAAGTTGTGCAGAGAGCAAAATAGTTGCTTAACGATTTTTCAGAGCTAGTGAGAAGCCTTGAGCAGTAGTTCAAGTGCCAGCTAAGATTAGCGGATGCTAATTCAGGCTAGGAAGGTATTGTGATGTTAATATATTACAAAAGCAACTGGCAGAGCTTTGGAAAGGGAGGACAGGAGAAGAGGCAGGAGATTAAAGACAACAAAAGAAAACAGAATAGATAGTCGCTAGGAGATATTGGGAAGAGAGAAGTTGGGACAGTGTAAGATGTAATTATTGCAACTGAAAAAAAAAATCCAAAGAAACAATTCCTTTCTCCTGTGCTTTACTCTTTCCTCAAA